GTCCAGGACTGACTCCTCCCTCCCCATTGGCAGCCCAAGCTCTAAGGTGGGAGACTCTGAGGTGGGGGATGGTCTTTTGCTGTGATTGGGGGTTAAGGGGGGATGAGTTAGGCGTTCATTTGAAAACATAAGCTGGGTAGGGTGCCAGCTCTGGGATGCCCAAGAAGCAGCTCATATTCTGCATCACCTTCTCATACATTTGAAATCAGGATTTTGGTTATTAAATGCTCCAGAGTAGTGGAAGCAAGCACTAGGAGACTAATCATGAGAAAAGGGAGAGAGTAGCCATGGGAAAAACGGGGTTGGAGAGATGTCAAAGCTAGATGTCAATCCTGTTTCTTTTCTCCCCTTTTTTTCTTCTTAAATATGTTTTGTTGATGGCCTTTGTTTCTTATATCATAGCTCTTCCTCATAATGTTTCCTCCATACCCTAGACTGAATCTTTCCTTATAGCAAAGGGACATAATTAAACCTAAGCACCTACTCCAGTGGAAAAGCATTTACCATTCTGTAGGGACATACTTTCAATAAAAGTCACATTCAGCCAAAGGGAAACCTTTTAGGGTGCTTACAAAAATGATGATTAAGATTACACCCAAGGGACCCCAGATTTAAATATGAAAGATCCCCACAAGGCCATGGAGTCCAGTCTCCTTTTTTTAATGGATGAGGAAACTAGGGCACAAGGAGAAGTGACCAGTATAAGGTCACACAGGTATAAGAGTCAGAGTAGGGATTTGAGCCCAGATTCTTTGGTATCAGACCCAATAGTTTTTTGATTACATCTCGGGATAGGTTCATTGCTCACAGATTTAAGGTTGGAAGGGACATGAGAGGTTTCTCAATCCAGTTCCTCCATTTTTCAGATCAGGAAACTGAGACACAAAAGTTAAGTGCCTATCCCAAGATTCATACAGGCGTTTAGTGGCAGGGTGAGGATTTGAACCCAAGTCCTCTGAGCCCACATCCTCCTGCTCCACATAGGAATTACAGGATTATAGATTTTGATCTGGATGGGGCCATCTAGTTCAACCTTGTCTCTTGGAAAATATTCCCTCAAGAGAGGAGTAATTTGCCCAATAGGTAGGTAGCAAGTGGAAGAGCTGAGATTTGAACCCAGGACTTCTGACTGAATCCAGTTTGCAACTTGTGCCACAGAGTGTCCAAAGGCTGGAACTCTTCTCTATACAACTATTGAAAAGTGGAGGGAGAGTAGAATAGTAATCTGTGAACTAGGGAAATATAGACCTCCCCCCAATCTGCATAATTTAGGCTCCACAAAGAATTATGGGCCATGTGCTGAATCAGGCAGCCCTGAAAGAAGCCACAGTCTGAGGCACACACAGATGGTAAAGGAAATGATGGAGGAGCAGTTTTTCTGGAACACTCTCGTCAGCCTTATGGTTCTGCAAAGGGAAGGGTGGACAAGTGGGAAGGATGGAAGGCCCTCATTACTTCCTGAGCCTGAATTCATGAACTTGAAGCATTTTTAGTGCCTTCTCCATTTGGACTCATAATTTTTTAAAATTCCCTGACACAGAAGCCTGACCACCTGATAAGCCATAGAATCATGTTGTCCATCCTCACAGAGGACCTTTACTCAGTGACTGATCAGTCGATGCCATAAATTGTTGGGGAGAAGAGAGGAGGAATTTCCTGTCACATTTTCATACGCACCAGTCCCAGTGTCTTGGTAGGAAACCAGGGCCATGGATGACAAAATATGCTATAGCAATTTCTCTCAGAGTTTCTAGGGATGACAGAGATGGTAGAAGTTTGGAGCTGGAAGATGCTTGACTAGATAGATACATATAGATAGATATATGTCCATATCTATGTATCTATAGGTATCTATCTATCTATCTATCTATCTATCTATATGTATATATATATATACATATATATATGTCTCTGTCTCTATCATCTATGTCTATTTATCCATCCGTCTATCATCTATCTCTATCTGCCTCTGTCTCTATCAACTGTCTATCTTATTTACCTGCATTTGTCTATATCTATCTATCTATCTATCTATCTATCTATCTATCTACCTACCTACCTACCCACCTACCTACCTATCTATCCAGCTATCTATGCATCTATCTGCCTCTGTCTCTTTCACCTATTCTATCCATGCATCCATCCATCCACTCATCCATCTATCTATCCACCTACCTATCCATGTTCTGCTCAAGGGGAGGGGAGGGACAGAGATAGTCATAGAATCCAGAGTTTTGGAGCTGAAAGGGTCCTCAGAGACCATCTAGGTTCATCTCAATCTAAACAAAAATCCCCTTACGACATCCCCAACAAGTGGCCACCCAGCCTTTGTTTGAGGACCTCCAATCATGGGGAGCTCACTGCCTCCTAAGAGCCTGTTATACTTTGAAACAGCTCTAAGTGTCAGGAAGCTTTTTCTTATGTCAGACTTTATTTCTTTCCAACATCCCTTTTATTGTTACTAGTTTTGCCCTTTGGGGCCAAGAACAACTTTTCAATGAGACAGCCCTTCAAATACTGTCTCCTTCCCCCTCTCCTCCACCAAACCTTGCATGCGTATTTCCATCTATCTAGGTTAAATACCCTCAGTTTCCTCACGTATGAACTTCAGGCCCTTTACCATCCTACTTGCTTTCCTCTGGATGCCCTCTGGCTTATCAAAATCCCATCTAAAATATGGCATCGAGAACTGAATGCAGTATTCCAGCTGTATTTTTGACCAGGTCAGCACACAGCAAGATTGTCACCTCTCTACTTCTGGATGCTTTGAGACGTTCTTAATACAGTCAAATATTGTATTAGATTTCTTGGAGGCTCTAATCACGCCATTGCTCCATGTTGAGCTTGTGGCTCACTATTACCCCCAGATCTTTTTCAGACAAACTACTGTCTATCCTCACCTCCTCCATATTCCATTTGGAGGCTGTTTTTTTTGAACCCAACTATAGAGCTTTCCATTTATCCCTAAGGAGTGTTACCTTACCAGATCTATCCCATCACAGTGGCCTGCTAAGTTCTTTTTGAATTTTGACTCTATCATCTAATGTGTTAGCCATCCCCATTTGTCTCCTCTAGACACTGTTTACATATGCAAAACTAGGCCATAGGGTCATGGCAAAAGAAGTCAAGTTCATTGGAGTGACTTGAGTTTTCTGCTGGCTACCAAATCAAAATATGGGAAGGACAGAGTTCCTCTTCTCTATTGGGAAGATTCGGACCTACAGGGTCTCTCTCTGCCTGCAGTCAGGGTCCTCTATCAAAACTGGAAGAGACTATGTAAATAATCTAATCCATACTGCATTTTTTTTTTAAAGATAAAGCTTTCAAAGAAGAGTGAATTTACCAAGGTCACACAATAGCCAAGGCAAGATTAGAACTCAAGTCTCATAAGTGCCTTGAAGTCTTTTGTCCTTTTTGTCTTTATGTCCCCAGTATCTAGAGCACTAGCTGGTACTTAATAAACATTTGTTGAATTAAACCAAATTGAGCCAATCAACCCTTATTGAGAACGTATTAAGCCTTTCCTACGGGGTAGACACCGTGCCAGGCAGTGGAGACACAAAGTCAAGGAACAGATGATGAATTGGAATTTAATTGAATCTTTTAGCTAGGCACTGATAGAGAGCCATGTTGATGTTCATACATAATTGGGGACACTCGTCCAGCTGGTCAGTGAAGTGGCAAGCCCTGCCTCCTAATGACTGTATTGACCTATAATGATGATTTTAACCCTTCTCTGCCAATGGAGTAACCTTTCCCAGATTGCCTTGATGTCTACAGGGTTATCACCAAAAGCCCTCCCCAATGAATATTCCACCGTAACATCCTCCCCATATCTAGCCTCTGTTGTATCTGTTTCTTGCCTTCTATGATATATTTTCTAAGAATGAAGGTTGAGAAGAATCTCTCCCTGATCGTATGGATCCAGGGGCTTCTTCTCCCACAATTCACAGTGAATCACAGACTTATGGGGCAGATATGAACCTAGAGGGTTGGGATGCTGAAAAGGCAGGGGTTCTTTGCCTTTTTTAATGTGTTTCGGACCCTTTTGACAACCCTGAAAAACCTGAAGAATCCTTTTCAGAATGTCTTTAAATTTATAAAACAATATAAATTATCACAAAGGAAACTAATCATCTTGAAGTACTTGTCAATTAAAAGAAGTCATATGCTGCAGGTTAAGAATCCCTGCCTTAAAGAAAAAAAAGGTATAGGAAGGATTCCAGTGAAAGTGGATTCCGGTTTTCCATTCCTGCTGTGACCACTGGACTGGAAAGATGGCAGAACCAGATCCTAGCTGGGATTCCGCCATTGTTTTGTCTAATGGTTAGGAGCAAGCTATTTAGCCTGTTCTGCACGCCTTGGTTCTCTCCTCTCTGCAATGGGGCTGTTTGAAGCAGCTCTCTCCAGTCTTTAGCCAGACATGGGGAGGTTGAGCAAGACCGTGTAAGTCAAGTAAGTGCTACAGGAACCGCTGGGAGGGAAAGACTCCTAGGGAGTCCAGACTTGTGTTTCTCATTTGGAATTGAAGTCTGGCTGCCAGCCAAAGTCACCGACCAACCGTGACCTAGTTATGAAACGTTGGCGGGGTCTTTTATGTGCTTGATCCCCTCTGACACAGGAAGACTGGTGGGTGGTTTGCTCTGTTCCAACTAGGACAAAGAACTCTCTTTTTCCCCTGCCCTCCCTTGAACAGACTTTGAACTATAGTAGCTCATGGGGGGGGTAACTATTTTATTAACTATTCCTGTATAAAAGTGCCTATAATTTAGTTTCCTCTCCCTGAATTCCTAGTGACCAAGTGTTACAGGAGAGAATGACTCCAGACACAGTAGGGTCTTTCTTGAATAATGGGGGTTTTAAAATAACTTGAGCTCATGTCTCTGTAATGGAGTTAATATTTCATACCTCACTCAGCTTTAGTGTCTCCCTCCACCCCCAACCCCAACCCTGAGTGGCGTGGGCCAGCACAAAGAGAGAAGGCAGCCGAGGTTACTTACGACTTCATTGGCCGAGAGAAAGCTGTAGACCTGGAGGGACTGGCTGGGGGGGTGGCCAGACCGGGTCTCACCACGGCTCACAGTTCCCTTTTGGATAGCCTTAGAGCAGGGCCGTGGGCGCCTCCGCCTGGATTTAGGACCTTCTTCGGGGGACTTGGCCCTGCGCCTGCCAAGGGTAGAAAGAAAACAGGGAATGGCCTGATTTGGGGGTCTAGGTGACCAGATAGAGAGCAGAGGGCAGGACTGGGGCCTCAGCTTTCCAAGGTGAGAGGAACGCCATCGGTCATGGTGATTGACACCAACAGAATGCCGAGAAGATAACTGATGATGATGATGATGATACATAACTAACATTTATATTGCACCAACCATGTGGCAGGCACTGTGCTAAGTGCTTTATAATTATTATCTCATTATGATCCTCACAACAACCCTGAGAGATAGGTGCTATTTTTTCCCCTCCGTTTTACTGATGAAGAAACTGAGGCAAACAGAGGTTAAGTGACTTGCCCAGGGTTACACAGCTAGTCTGAGGCTGGATTTGAACTCAGGTCTTCCTGTCTCCAAGCCTAGTGCTCTATCCCCGGTACCATCTAGCTACCTCAAAGACAAAAGCAGGGCTTTAGCCTTTCAGTGCCTTAAAATAAAATGCCCAATATAAAGATGGTGGTAGCATTTTCCATAAACATTTCAGAGGGTCATAGGACTCAAAACTATTAGGGGCCTTAGATGAGACAATGTGATGCTTGGGAGGGGCCTCAGAAGAGGGAGTGTCCTAGCTTGGGGTATGGAGGTCTTAGAACAGGGAATGTCTGAGCTGGGAGGGCCCTTAGAACAGGTTAATGTCAGAGGTGGAAGGGCCCTTAAAGATCAAGCTAGTCCAGTCCCTTTATTATCAAGAGGAGGAATCTGGGGCCTAGAACAAGGTTAGGGACTTGCCCAAGGTCTCACAGCTAGTGAAGGGTGGTAGGGCAAAAGTAGGGAATTGCTCCTGTATTTTGTGACCTCGAGTGGGGCTTTAGCCTTCCAGGGCTTCAAACAATCCTTGGAGAAAAAGAAGCAAATGTCCTTGCTCCTCCCTCCTCCTCCTTCCTCACTTTGCAAAGAATCAGGGCAAGTCAACCAAATGATACACATGAGCTGTTCCCCAGCAGGAAGAAGCTGGGCTGACAAGGGATTGTGGCATCTGCAGCGGGAGACAAAGCTGCAGATTGCTCCGCGGGTTTCCGCTCAGGGCAGCTGTAAGTGCAGCGGTCCTGGGGAAGCCAGGGGCTTACCTGCTCTCGCCGCTGGAGGAGCGCGACTCAGAGCTGGGGGACCGAGAGTGACAGCGGCGGTGACGATGGCGGTGAGATTTTCGAGGTCGGCTTCGGGATCTTTGGGAAATTGATCAAAAAGAGGGCAGCAGAGATGAATCCATATCTAACTTTCCAGAAATCTTAGTGCTGCATGTACTCTCAGATCTCATAGTTCCTCTAACATGATACTCCATCTCCCATCACTCTCCCCCATTTCTGGAATACTCTCCTTCCTTCTCACCTCTGTGTTTGAGTTTCTTGGCTTCCTTCAAGACTCACCTCAAATCTTACTTTTGGCAGGAGATCTTTCTAGCATTTAATGCTTCCCCCTCTGAGATTACCTTCATCTACTCTGTATGTATCTTGTAGGAACCTAATTATTTACACATTGTCTTCCTCATTAGAATGTTTGCTTCCTGAGCAGAAGGACTGTATTTTTGTCTTTCTTTGTATCTCAAGCATCTCCCACCACCACCTTGGGAAAAACAGTTGCTCTCCCATCCAAAGAAAAAGGCCTCACCTGATAGCTGCCTTTTCCTTCACTATGTTGTCCCAGGACCAGTATCTTTCTGTCTTTTTAGGACATTTCAGTCTCAAGGCTAATTGGCTTAACTAAGCTGCCAGCCCCGGTAACCCTCTATCCCCCTTACTTTCTTGTTTCCAAAAACTGTGAGTTTGGAGAACAGAGGAGAGGGTAGATTATTGAAGTGACTCTACATCTCTCACCTTTGTCCTCTTTTCTCTACCTTATGTCTGACACAAATTATGATTTAATAAATATTCAAGTCAATCTATCATTCATTCATTCATCTGTGATTTATCTATTTACCCATTAATTCATCTTAATCCATTCATTCTTCTATCTTCCATTTAATTATCTACCATCTATCTACTCATCCCTCTTTATCTCTATCCATCCTCTTCTCTATCATCTAATTATCTATCTATCCACGCTTCCTTTTCTCTATCCATCCATCTGTTCTTCTATCTATCCATCTATTTATCTATCCATTCATCCCTCCTAATCTCTATGTATCCTTTTCTCTGTCATCTAATGCTCTTCTTTTTTTTTTTTTTTTTGGTGAGGGCAATTGGGGTTAAGTGACTTGCCCAGAGTCACAAGCTAGCAAGCGTTATGTGTCTGAGGCTGAATTTTAACTCAGGTCCTCCTGACTCCAGGGCCGGCGCTCTATCCACTGAGCCACCTCGCTGTCCCTATCTAATGTTCTTTCTGTCCATTCATCCATCTTTATCTCCATCCATTCCTCTATCTACCCATCTATCATTCAATTATCTATCATCTATCTACTCATCCCCCCTTATCTCTATCAGTTATCTATTTATCTGTCATATCTATCTATCTATCTATCTATCTATCTATCTATCTATCTATCTATCTATCTATCTATTCCTTAACTCTATCATCTGTCTCTTAATTCTGTCTGTCTGTCTATCTACCTATCCATCCATCCATCCACCCATCCATCCATCATCTATTCACACACTGCCACTGTAGTTTAGACTCTCATCACTTCTTTCCTGGGCTAGTTCAATGATCTCCTGTTTGTGCTTCCTGCCTCCATTCTGTCCCCATTTGAATCCATCCTCCCAGGAGCTGCCAAAATTATTTTTCCTAACGTGCAGATTTGATCATGTCAGTCCTCTAATCAAGAAGCTCCACTAATAAGGGGCAGCTAGGTGGCGCAGTGAATAGAGCTCCAGCCTCCAAGTCATGAAGACCTGAGTTCAAATTCAGCCTCAGACACTTGACACTTACTAATTGTGTGACCCTGGGCAAATCACTTAATCCAGATTGCCTCACCAAAAAGCCAAAAAAAAAAAATAAAGTCAAATCCGGCCTCAGGCACATAACACTTACTAGCTGTGTGACCCTGGGCAAGTCACTTAACCCCCACTGCCATTGCCTAGCCAAAACAATGACAACAACAACCACAAAGAAGCTCTACTAGCTCCCTATTTCCTCTAGGATTACAAAGTCCTGTAACCTAGCTTTAGGTTACCTCTCCAGGTTTCACCTTAGCTAGCATTTTTATAACTGCTTCCAGGTTTGCAAAAAACTTATATATGCCAATTTGTGCCATCCTCACAATCATTCTTTGAGGTGGGTATGAGTTTACTAAATGTCATGCCACACTTTGTGAACCTCCATGGTTTCACTCAACAGGCCTTCTTGCTGTCCTTCATGCCCCACATCCCATCTCCCATGTCTCTGCCTTTGTACAGGCGGTTTTATGCTTGGAAGACACTCCCTTCTCACTTCCCCTCTTAGAATATCTCCTCTATTTCAAGACCTAGCTAAACCGCGATGTCCTCCATGAGCTGATCCCCCTCCGACGCTAGTATCTTGCCTCTAACATGTACATGGATTTGCTTGGAACTCATTTAGCACATTCTCGTATGTGCGTGTACTGCTTCCTCAGACAGAAGAAAATTTCCTGGAAATCGGGAGAAGTTTAATTTTTGCCTTTGCATTCCTAGAGCCCAACACAGTGTTTGGCATGCAGTAGGCACTTGTTAAAGCCTGTTGGTTGATGGAACGTTTGATCTCCGTTTCTGATATCCTCCGAGCCCCACACTGTGAATCAGAAGCTTTGTCTCTTCTAAGATAAAGGAGTCCAGTAAGCACATCATCACCGTGGCGTGATCTTTATATGGCATTTTAAGCTTTTCAAAGAGTCTTGGAATCAGGGCAACCTGAGTTTGGACCTGGTCTCAGACACCTACCAGCTGTGTGACCCTGGACAAGTCACTCAACCTGTTTTTGCCTCACTCTTCTCCTCTGTCAGATGGGGAGAATACTATCACCTGCTTCCCGGGGTTGCTGTGAGGATCAAACAAGATGATGATTGGGGGTGATAATAATAGTAATGAACATTTATGTCTTACTTTGAGATTTACAACGTGTTTTTAAATCACTATTTCATTTAAGCCTCATTTTGAAGTAAGTGTTTTTACTATTCCCATTTTACATATGAGGAAACTGAGGCTCAGAGAGGTCATGGGTAATAGATTGAATGCTGAAGCCAATTTCAGAAGTCATTTGACTCCCTAATTTTACACAAATGAAGTCCAGAGGAGTGAAATTACTTGCCCAAGGTCACTCAGCCAGTAGAAGAGAGAGTCCAGTCCTCTATATAATACAAAATAGCTCGGAGGGTTAGTATCAGATGGGTTTAGCTCCACACCTGAGTTTACTCTACTCCTGGGCTACCCAGAAAGCACTCCTAACCATAGCTAACCTTCTTGTGAATTTGTGCAGTGGGTCCTAATGGGGAGTGAGAGACAGTCTGTGATGCTCCTCACAAATCTGCACCTTACCTGAGGAGCACAAGGTCACTCTATTAGCCCTCCTAGAAGTGTAAGTGAGGGGCAGTGAGACTCCCTTCCCCCAAATATTTCCCTACCCCTTGTCACTGTGCCTAAAATTCTGCCATTGGAGACTCATCTATCCTGAAGGGCCTGAATCCTTTTCCATCTGCAAGAATCTTCTTCTTTTTTTTTCCCCATGCAATTGGGGTTAAATGACTTGCTCAGGGTCACACAGCTAATAAGTGTCAAGTATTTGGTCTGAGGCTGGATTTGAGCTCAGGTCCTCCTGACTTCAGGGACAGTGCTCTATCCACCGTGCCACCTAGCTGCCCCCAAGAATCTTCTAATAAAATATGTCTAGAAGAGATTAACATCTTGAACCTAGTTATTGGCTCAGCACTAAAGATAAGTGGGAATTATTATTATTATCATTAATTTGTTCATTTGCTTATCAGTCTACCCATTTGTTTTTCTATTTATTCATTTACTTATTTTTTATTCACCCATTCATACATTCACCTATCTATTCCTCCCTTCCTCATCTCTTTCTTTCTTTCTTTCTTTCTTTCTTTCTTTCTTTCTTTCTTTCTTTCTTTCTTTCTCTTTCTTTCTTTCTTTCTTTCTTTTCCTTCCTTCCTTCCTTCCTTCCTTCCTTCCTTCCTTCCTTCCTTCCTTCCTTCCTTCCTTCCTTCCTTCCTTCTTTCTTTTCTTTTCTTTCTTTCTTTCTTTCTTTCTTTCTTTCTTTCTTTCTTTCTTTCTTTCTTTCTTTCTTTCTTTCTTTCTTTCTTTCCTTCTTTCTTTCTTTCTTTCTTGACCTATGCTTTCATTAGCATAAGAAGAAATTCTCTAATGGTGGCCATCTCTAGGGTGGGATGGGGAGGAAGGGAAAAAATATAAAAAGGGCACAGCAGAGAATAAAAGAAAATTTAGAAGGAAGCATAGAAAGCACAGTAGCTTTGAAAACAATGAATAATACTTATATAGTTTTTTCAAAAAAACATAAAAGTATGAAATGAAAATCATGATTTTATAGTGAATCCTTTTATGTTGTGCTGTGTACATGGAAATGTTCTTTTTTTTCTTTCTGTATATAAGTTCAAAATGGATAAATAAATAAATAAATAAATAAGAAACTCTCTGTATCAATGCCGGTCTGCACATCTCATGAAATTTCAAAGGACCATAAGAAAGTTCATAATCTTAGAGGCCATCAAATTCCATTGCCTAATTTTACAAATGAGGAAACTGAGGCCTAGAGAAGCTAAATGTCTTGCACAGCTAGGCAGTATTTGAACCCAGGTCTCCTTGACTCCAAGTCTAGTGCTCTACCTGGTGGACCAAGGGGTTAAGTGACCTGCCCAGGGTCACACTGCCTTTTTGTATTCAAGACAGAACTTTGAGCCAGGTCTTTTTGTCTCCAGGGCTCACACTCTATCTACTGCCCTGTAGTGGCTTAGGAATGTAGTAACAATAATACCCATTTCTATAGCACTTAACAATTATAAAATGTTTTCTTCCCAATGGCCCCAGAAGAAAAGTCAGAAGATGATAGATTTAGACCATGGATTTAGGCCTTTGAGGTTGCAAAGTACAGCCCACCATTTTACTGATGAGGACACTGAGGACTAGAGAGGTTGTGGTCTGGTGAAGGTCACACAGCTTCATAACTAACACTCCTCCCATTACATCACATCATATTTGATTATGTCCATTTTATGTTTTAGTAAACTAAGGCCCGGTTAAATGCCTTGGCCAGGGCCATGCTTAGAAAAGAGGAGAGCTGGGAAGCTAATTTGGGACTGGCTAGTATACTCTGTTGCATCATGCTGCCCTTCTGTGGCAAGAAACAGAGTAGGACACAAAGCAGGGGTCCTGGGGGCCTGAGATCTTAAAGGAAAAGAAAATAAGGCATTAGGATTTCCCTCTGAGAGGCTCCTTTGGTCAGGCATGACACATGCTTGGTTGGGTGTCAGGTTTTTGCAAGATCCTTTGGATATCATCACGAACTGAGTTTCAGAGACTCTGGCTGGGTTGCTGTGTCCCTTGGGGAGCAATGGTGTTACCTTGAGAACCCAACCTTTTTATATGGAACAATTCCAATGGACTGTGTGACCTTGAGCAAGTCTCTTAATTTCTTCCTTCATTTTCTCATGTGTAAAATGAGACAGCTGAACCAGAGCATCTCCAAGATTCCCCCTTGTTCTACATATCCTTCACCCTGGGTTCATATCCCACCTTTGGTGTTTACTGCCTGTGTGACCTTGAGCAAGTCTGGGCCTCAGAGTTTCCTCATCTGTATAATAAATGGAGTTGGATTTGATGGCCTCAGAAATCACTTCCAGCTCAAGATCTTTGATTATATAAGTCACTTGACCCCGACAAGCCTCAGGTCCTCATCTGTAAAATGAGGGGGTTAAATAATGGGTTAACACATGTCAAGTGCTTTCCAAACAGGAACTGATCTTCCTCACCTACCACCATCATTCTCCTTCCTTCCTTACTCCAGGCATGGGAGCTTGGAATACTATTGTACCAGTACAGGCCGAGTCCATCTGGAAGAATTCACTGGGTACTTGACCCGCAGCACGAGATCTTGGAGTTCTTTGAGTCCAATCACCTCATTTTATAGATGAGGGATCTAAGGCCCAGACAGATGACATGACTTATCCGAAGTTATAATGGAAGGCCCAGGATTTGAACTCTGTCCTTTGGCTCCAAATGTAGTGATCTTTCCATAGCACTAAGTAGCCCAGAGCTTCCACAGAAAGCTTTAGGGAATAAAACCTTTGTGACGGCCTTCGAAGCAGGTCTCTAATTTGGACGGTGCTTTCTCGAAAGTGATTCTGACTATGACTTGTGGGCAAGCTCTCGTTCAGGCTTTCAACTCACTTTCTGGATGGGCTCTAAAGCTGTCATCATTAGTGAGTATGAATGATGCCCGTGGAACACCATTGGATGGAGCCAGTCTAGACGGCCAAGGGCTATTTGAATTTGTGAGAGAGGCCTCTGAGGCCCGAGCAGCAAAAATAAATCCAGAGTTTGGTTTAAAAATCCAAATGAAACCAAACTTTGCAAGTGAATTTAATAAACATTGATGTAGCCTCTACCTGAAGGCAGTAACACTTGCCTGGGAGAGACCACTCATGTCCTTTTCTTTTTCTTCCTACATCCTTTGTCTTAGGTGATTGCAGACTCCATTGTTTTTTCCTGTCTCCATTGGAAATCTTCAGCACTCATCAAATTTCTGATGCCTGAAGCATTCTTTTCTTTTTTGGTCTACTCTGGGAAAGGGCTACCTTTTTCAGTGACGTCTGGTTCCCCCTCCTTGCCTCCCTAACGCACAACCTGCTAGTGCCCTCTCTTCTGCGACTGTGATCCTCCGTCTACTATGCGTGTATCTTGTATGGACCTGTTTCTATACAAAGGAACTTAGATTTAGAGTTGGAAGGACCCATAGAGGTATTGAATCCAATCCCCTGATTTCTTTTTTAATGAATGAGAGACAGAAGCTCAGAGAGATTACATTACTTGCCCAGGGTCACATAGCTAGAAAGTGTCTAAGGTGAATTTGAACTTGGATCTTTTTGACCCCAAAGACCAGTGGTCTGTCCCCTGTACCATCTATATATACATTATTTACTCCCTCCCCCACCTTGAGGGCAAGGCTTCCCTTTCCTTTTCCTCCATATCCCCAGTATCCAGATCAGTGCCCAATACGTAGGCATTCAATAAATGTTTGTGGGGTGACTAATTGATTCTGAAGCCCTTGCAATCTTGGAGTGGCTGGTTTGTCCCTGGGACCTCTTGGCAGGAGTACAGCAGGAGCAGGCTGGACAAATGAATGGAATCCTCCCAATTTTAGAGACCTCCAGGACACCAGATTCCACGCCTCCTTGCTGTAGCCTGCACCAGGGACCAATAGCTCTGATGGTCAGGAATCTTCCTCTGGGCAAAACCAAAGCTTCCCTCACCTGAGTAAGGGAATAGCTGTTGGCCATGACTGAGCTCAGGCAGCCAGGATACTAAGACCCTACTCTTGATCCCTGTCTTATCTGTCTTTCCCTCCCCAAAAAGTCTTCCAACTGCCATCTCCATTGCCTTTGATCCACACATTAAAAGCTTCTTGGTGGGAGATAAAATATTATTTTGTTGACTGGAAAACATATGCGCTGACATTTGCAGGGCATAAAATAGGTGGGTTGTAACCAAATTTACTTTTAATTTGACTGGGAACTGAACTCCGCAGGCAGCATTCTCTGATTGGAATTTCTACTACCAGCTATTTAAAAAAATAAACAGGAGTAACCAGACTCCACAGGGCCAGCTCTCTAGGACTTTAACGATTACACTGACTTCAGCTAAAACACAAGATAGCGATGCTGGTGCACCCATCCACCCCACCCTCCAGTCTCACAATTAAGCTGACATTTATACACTATTCAAAGGTTGGCAAAGTACTTGACTTCGAAAATCTTATTTGGTCCTTAACAATAATCTAAGAAGGGAAGTGTTCCGATGACTATTATCCCTATTTTACAGGTGAGGAAATTGAGGCTGAGAACAGTTAAAAGGCTGCATCCAGAGTTACGCTGCTAATAAGTGTCTGAGGCAGGATTTAACCCAGGTATTTCTGAATTTCTCTCTCTCTCTCTCTCTCTCTCTCTCTCTCTCTCTCTCTCTCTCTCTCTCTCTCTCTCTTTCTCTCCTCTCTCCATCTTCCTTTTCCTTCTCCTCTTCCTCACTCCCTCTCCTTTATCCCCTCTTTCTCTCTTTCCTCTCCTCATCTCCTTATTTCTTCTCTCTTCTCTCCCTCTTCATCCTCCTCTTCTTCTCTCTCCCTCTCATATATCCATACACACAAATCATGCACACAGGCACACGCACATTTATCTAAATGGCAACTAAAAGGACCTCATCTCCATAAAAGCTCTACCCACCATCTCAACCTGGTTTCATTCAGTTTTACTTACTGTTTCTGGTGTTTTCTTTCTTTCTTTCTTTTGCTTTTGGGGCTTGAGGAGCTAAACAAGAAATAGCTAATTAATGGGAAGATGTTGCATTCTTACAAAACAATAAAATCTCAAAACATCAAAATGCTTAAAGATGTCTGGGTGGATGGGCCCACGTTACCCAAGATTGGCAACTTCGTCACCAGGGTTGGGCCTTATATATGGACATTTAATATAGGTTTGTTGAGCAGAACTGTAAACAAGTCATGGCCTAAGACTAAGAAGGGACAGTAGAAGGGATTCCTGTTCAGGCACGGGCTGGATCCCATGACCTCGAACATTTCTTCCAATTCAGAGATTCTGTGATTCCAATTTTGTCAAAAGTCTGCTATTCCACTCCTCACATCTGCCAGAATAGTTTAGCCTGAGATGGCAACCCAAGGACACTGGCTGGTGATGGAATCCCAGGATCTTAGAGATTACTGAGCCCAACTTCCTCATCTTACAGATAGTAGACCAGAGGAGGAAAGTGTTTTGTTCAAGATTGCATAGCTAGTAAATGGCTAAGCCATAATTTACGTCCAAGTCCTCTGATCCAAATCCTCTGTACACTAGACAGTAATATCTCCTGATTTGAGGAGATCCCAGAGGCCTTCCATTGGAAAGATTTGCTATCTGAATGGCTTGGCTCACTTATAAATATAGGCAACCCTCTGGCATCCCAGTTTATAGAGTCCTCAGAGCTTTGATTTGAAAAGGACCTCAGGCACCATCTCGTTCAACCCACGTATTAATGAAAAGCTCTAAAACCTTCTTGATAAGTGGCAATCCAGTCTCCAGTGAGGGGGAGCAACTGGAAATACTGAAACATAGAATCTTCAAGTTAGAAAAGACCTTAGAATCCACTGAGTCTAACGATGAGTTCAACCACAATGCCTGCTATGACATGTTTTGACAAATCATTGACTGGTTTTTCCTTAAGATCTAGAATGTGGAAGAAGCCCTTCTTTCTGGAAGTAGCCCACTCCATTTTTCAGTAAATAGCTTTAGGTATTCCTTGGCACATAGACAAATTTGCCTAGTCGCAATTGCCCTCCAGTACTTATGGTTCTGTCCCTTGGGGCCAAGCAAATCAAGCAGAACATGCCCTATTCCACGTTGCACTTGCTCAGTGACAATTATTTGGCCTGCCCTAAGAATTCTCTTCTCCGGGTTAAACACCTCCATTTCTTTCCTAGGGCAGGAACTTGGAGAACTCCTCCATCTTAGTCAGCCTCCTCTACGCATTCTCCAACTTGTCATCATCCTTCCCCAAATGTGACAACTCCCTAGAACCAAATGTAGTGCTCCATCCAGGTGGGATCTGACCATGGCAGGGTACGGAGAGGTTGTCACCACCCTAGTCCTGGACACTGTCTCTCAATGCAGATCAGACTCATCGACTTTCTTGGTTGACATTTTACACTGCTGATTCATAATGATCCTGCGAAACCGCTAAGCCTTCTTTTCCCAGATCTTTCGAACAAACAAACATAAAAAACAACAACAACTATTTCTTAGGAATGCCTCCCTCCATCTTGCCCTTTGGATGCTGACTTTTACAAACCCAATTAGAAGAATTTATATTCCTGCCTATTCAATTTTCGTTTTATTCGATTTCACCAAATGTTCTAGCCTGTCAAGATCTTTCTGAACCTTGATTCTACCACCCATTGTGTTAGCCATTCCACCCAGCTGTTTGTCATCTGCAAATGTGACAAGGATATCGATCGTATTTTTTTCTGAGTAATTGACAAAAAAATTCTGGATTTGAACTCAGATCTTCCTGACTCCAGGCCCTGTGCTCTATCTACTGTGCCCCTTTTGTCAAATACTAGCCCTATAGTAACCCCTCTCCTCCAGAGTCAGCCTCACCAAAGTTGTTTCACAAAATGATCATGAATACATTATAACCAAACCTTACCACAAGACTAAGAAACCACCACTCAGTACAATACTGTGTATCCCATCACCCATTGATTATGAACCTACAAAACCAAGCACCTCAGTCATCTAGTTTCCTCAAAATCTACATGATCACAGAAGTGATTGAACCAGGGCTATCTGGGAATAGAATGGGTCTGAGACTTCTATCACCATTTCCATTCTAGAGGAAGGCCCTTGCTTTCTCTCTTCCTTTTGCTCTGGGGTACCAGAAGAGGATAGGATTTGGAGTCGGGAGGAGTCTTTGAGATGGCCCAATCCATTTCCTTCATTTTGCAGATGAGGAAACTGAGGCAAGAGAAGGAAAGTCCCCAGAGAATTAGAAGCAGAGACAGAGTTGGAACTTAAGTCTTGGACTCTAAGTTCAATGCTTATTCCGCTATGCCGTGTTTCCTCTTGACAAATGCAGAAAAAGCATTTTCCATGGATTTTGGGTTTGTGGTTACTGTTACACTCAGGGCCTGAGAGAAAGAGCAGGGCTCTGTGTCTTTTTGTTCTGTCCTCTCTACCTTGCAGAGATGAGCTTAAAGGACTACAGACCTAGAGTTGGAAGGTATGCTAGACATCCTCTAGTCTGACCTACTCATCTTACAACTGAGAAAACCAAGGCACAGACAAGTTAAGTGACTTGCCCAAGTTCACATAGGGATTAAGTGGAGGAGATGGGATTTGAACTCAGGTCCCATGACACCAAGTCCCCAGTTTAAGGATAATGAAGGGGTTGGGTGTGGGGTGGGGAATATCAGCTGAAGGACCTGGGGACATGGGAAGTAATAGAAGGAAAAAAGCGAAATCAAGCAGAAGCCCCTTTAACAAAGGCCAAGTTATTTCAAGCATCATTGCACATAAGAGTAGAGATTAGCACACAGTTAATGTGGGTGGAGGCAGATGGTGGCCCAGGAGGTGAGGGGAAATGCAATGGAATCCCAGGGGAAATCTCTGCAGGAAAGACTAGGTTTGAGGTTGGCAGGGTTATGGGATGGGGCCAGGCTTCCAGCAGCTCTGTACTGATTACACACACACACAGGGAAGTGGGGGTGGGAAAAACCACCACCAACAAACAACCACCACCTGAGGAATCGATGTCCTGGGTTACAGACCTATGTCTGCCACCAGAGAAGGCAGAATGGGGGTAGGGTGGCTTAGATTGCACAGTTCCTAAGAACGCTCCCTGTTCTGACACTGCATGCTTCAAAGCCTCTCCAGAATTCTGTTTTAAGGCCCCTCCCAGCCCTGACATTCCCTGTCCTAAGGCCCCTCCCAGCTCTGACATTCCCTGTTCTAAGCCCCTCCCAGCTCTGACATTCCCTCTTCTAGGGCTTTCCCAGTTCTGGCATTTCCTATTCTAAGACCCCTCTCAATTCTGACATCCCCTGTTCTGAGGCCCCTCCCAGCTCTTACATTCCCTGTTCTGAGGCCCCTCCCAGCTCTGACATCCCCTGTTCTAAGGCCCCTCCCAGCCCTGACATTCCCTGTTCTAAGGCCCCTCCCAGCTCTGACATTCTCTCTTCTAAGTTTCTTACAAGCTCTGACTTTCTGTCCTCCAAGGTTCCTTCCAGCTCTCAAATTCCATCTTCTAAGATCTGTCTTAGCACTGATATTCTGTGTTCTAGTTTTCCTTCTTGTTCCATTCCCTGTTCTAAGACTCCTCTCAGCCCTGACGTTATAAAATTCTGACCCCTTTTCATCCCCAAACAGTAGCTGGAATCCCTTTTTTGAATGGATGTGGAATGGAGTAGCAATGGGAGTAAATGGGAACATTTGGACAAATAAATCTTGAGGAAGGTATGAGAGGAGGGAATGAAGCCAATCCTGTCCCTGAGGAGGGGCTCCTAAATGCCCTGATTAGTGGGTCAGAAGTGACTGGGAGGGGAGTCAAGCCTCCATGGGCACAGAGCTCTCCTCCTTGAGTTCTAAGCACCCTTGGTCTCAGGCCCCCGGACAACCAGGCTTACAGAAGAGCTGAGTTTGAGCTGAGAATTGTCTGATTTTTTTCACCCTGTTGACTTCTGAATAATTTTAAATTTCTGTATGAAACACTGATGAGGGAGGGTCTTCACTCTCATGCTAAATTGAATGATTGTCCCATGTTCTCTTACATTCTCTGGGAATCTTCCCAGAGACTCCTGACTCTCAGGAGGTTTTCCTCCTGGAATAACCAGGGAGAGAGAAGGGAAATTGGAACACTGAGGAACAGTTACAAGACTGTCCATTCTTATGTGATCTTTTATTTAAAGTCTCTCAAAATAAGAAGATGGCTCACTCTCACGGGGCTGTCTGATCCTTGAGGTGATAAAGAAGAGAGATAGAAAATGGGAAGGTGGGGAGTTCACAATGGAAAGGGCAGATATTTTGCTACTGTTTAGTTGTTTTTCAGTCACGTCCAACTCTTTGTGACCCCGTTTGGGGTTTTCTTGGCCAAGATACTGGAGGGATTTGCCATTTCCTTCTCCAGCTCATTTTACAGATGAGGAAACTGAGACAAACAGGGATAAGTGACTTGCCCAGAGTCACACAGCAAGTAAGTGCCTGAAGTCAGATTTGAACTCAGGAAGATGAGTCTTCCTAACTCCAGGCCTAGTGCTCTATGCACTATGGCACCACCTAACTGCCCTTTGACATCTCTTACTGAATAATCATGATGATGATGGCTCACATTTCTACAGCCCCATAAGCATGGAGAGGCATTGTGGCCAGTAGAATAGCTGGCCTCGGGACCAGTAAGGTGTGGGTTCAAGTCTTGCCTCCAACACGCTTCTCAATGCTGTAGGCAGTTCTCTGATTATGTTATGAGAATGTGCTGAAGGATTTTCCTTATCTAGAGGGTTACTTATCCAATGACATCGGAGATCCAGTTCCTAACCTTAAGGGTTACCTGCCTTCTGTCCTCTGACATTGCCCCCGCCCTGGTACGGCCCAAATCGCCTCACTCCTAGACTATCGTAATAGCTGCTGGTAGCCGTTCCTACCTTCGGTCTGTCCTCGCTGCAGTCCGTCTTCCACTTGGCCACCAAAGCGATCTTCTAAAATTTCACATCTGACCCTGTTGCCTACCCTTCCCCTTACCCCCAAAGAGTCCCATGGCTCCCTATCACTTCCAGAATCAAATATAAAATGCCTGGTTGACACTTAAAGGGTCCTAACCTGGCCCCTTCCTACCTTTGCAAGTCTTCTTATACCTTTCTCCCCTCCAGCCATTCTATTATCTAGCAACATTGGCTTCCTTGCTGTCCCTGCCACACAACCCATCATCTCCCACCTCCGTGTCTCTGCACAATGTCTTTCCCTCATGCCCGGAATGCACTCCCTCCTCACTCATCTCTTAGCTTCCCTGGCTTCCTTTAAGACTCAGCTCAAATCCCACCTTCTTCAAGAGACCTTTCTCTTCTCCCAGTTCTTATCCCTTCCCTCTGAATTGCATCCCCTTTACACTGGATATGTCTTGTGTGTATACAGCTGATTGCATGTCTGTTCCCCTTCCCCCTCATTGGACTATGAACTCCTTGAGGGCAGGGATGATTTTGTGCCTTTCCTTGCATCCCCAGCGCTTAGTTTGGTACCTGGAAAACAGTAGGTGCTTAACCCTGTGGGTTAGTTATTATCACCCCCATTTTAGAGCTCTGAGAAGCGATATTCCCAAGGCTACATAGCACACAGATCTGAGATTTGGTCACAACTATCTCCTTACTCCAAAGCACAGCATGCTCTTTCCACTAAACTAGGGTACCTATGCTTAATTATGACAATAATAAAGAGAGAGAGGAAAATGGGCTAGTGCAGACCTCAGCCGCAACAATGTCCGATAAATCCTAGTGAGGCTGGCTTCCTGGATAAGCAGCCATGGATAGGTGAGTCCTCATCTGACCTCCTGTTTTTTCATCATGGTGGAGAGAGGAATATAAGCCCCCCAGTAGTATGGAAGGTCCTTGAGGAAAGGTACCATTTAATTTTTTTGACATTATATCTCCAGTGCCTATTAAAGTATTTGGCAAACAGTAGGCACTTCATAAATGTTTCTAAATTCTTGTTGAATTAATAAGAGATGTATTGATGGAAGGAGAAGGCAACAGGGGATCATTGAGCTCACGGGACCTAAAGAAATCATAAGTTCATAGATTAAGAGCTGGAAAGGACCTTTGAGGTCATCCTGTGCAACCCGCCTCATTTTACAGTTGAGGAAGCAGAGTCCTAATAAGGTTAAGAGACTTGCCCAAAGTCACGTAAGTAGTAAGTCGGAAAGCCAGTATTTGAACCCAGTTCTGTGTCCTAGGTTGACCCATAGAGAAAGTCCTATTGCTATTACAGCCTAGGGAAGTGTTTGGAACATGCTTAGGGAGGTAAAGTGTGTGTGTGTGTGTGTGTGTGTGTGTGTGTGTGTGTGTGTGTGTGTGCATGCACCAGGTGGGGTCTGTCTTGGTGTCTCAGTCAGGTCTGCCTCTGAAGGAAAGGAGGCCAGTCTTCCACAGACCTTGTGCCCTGACAGGAAAAAACAACCCTCCACAATTAGGACTCATTTCATCCCATATACTCGAATGCCTTCAAGTGTCTGCCTGCTGTGGGCGGGGAATCTCTGGAGAATGCCCGCCCATGACTTTCAGGTGCCATTGTGACCAAGCCAGCTGAGAATTCCACTCATTTCAGATGCTTCTCATCTGTCATCAGACAAGCTCGTCTTAGCTCTTCCTCTGCCACAGGCTGTAAAGACCAGCCCTGCCAGCAGAGGAAGGGTGCCAGCTTGGCCCTCCAAGACTTGAACTCCAAGAGTAGCAGAACGTCTGAGATTCAGGAATCTGATCAGCTCTTCCCTCCTATTAGCTGTACATCTTTGAGTCTAAGGGAGAGGGGGGATGCCCTTCAGGTGGGGCTGTAACAAATCGAGTCTGATTATCAGTGCCCTGGCTTCTTATGGGCGGGCCCGGCATTCTGCTGGTAACCTTGTGGTGCCCAGGCCAAGGTTTATCAAGTGGAAAAACAAACATACTGATGACGCAAGGTTTCCAAGCAGAGGTATTGGGCAGAGGCTGTGTCTAAGTGATACTGAACATTTGGAATGTGGAAAGTAGGAGAGAGAGGCAGTCCCTGGCTCACTTTCCAATCAGAATGAGAGCAGCATGGATTCTGAGCTGTTAGAAGCCATCAAGCCCCACAGCCTAATTTTACAGATAAGGAACCTGAAGCATGGAAAGTTGGAGGCTTGTCCATTGTCACACACCTACCAAGTGTCAGAGGTAGGGTTAAAACCCAGGTCTTCCTGACTCCAAATCCAGTCCCCTATCCACTACAAGATGCAGTCTCTGGGGCTGCAAGGGAGCTAAGAGGTCAGCCACTTTACAGATGAGGAAACCGAGGCCCAGAGAGGGAGACTGTCAAATCAGTGGAGCAGTAGGTAGCAGAGACAGGATGCATACCCCGAGTCCAGTGCCCTGGCTATGCTACCAAACTGCCTGATAGAATCACAGAATGTCAGAGGTGGAAGGGACCGTGAGATCATCAATTCCAACAATTTCCCCTCCAACCTGCTCACTTTACAGATGAAAAAGTGAGGCACAAAATGATTTATCCAAGTTCATGCATCTGAATTCCACCCCCATAGCTGTTCTGAGCCCCAGGGGAGTAGTGATATTTAGGCTTCAGGCATCAAAGGAGCAGCAAAAATTTAACTAGATTCTTACCTATGTCTTCTCTTCTTGGAGAAACACCTGTGGAAAACAAACAAACAAACAAAAAACACACTGGGATCTGATCCTCTATTCTTTGAGAGGGAAGCATGCACGTATTTCCATTACCTCCCAAGATTTTAGAGAACTTCTCCCCTTCTCCCCCCTCTGTCTTCTCCCTCCCTCTGCTGTTCCCCTTTCACCTCCTGTTTCCCATTCCCTGCCCAAGTTCTTGTAGGTCAGAGGATGTGTTAAGACACTATACAATTTAATGAAGACCCCCAGGCTGAATTTGGCAGTTCACCCAAACTCCATAACCCTCCTATATAGATTGTTGCTAGCAGCTGGTTTAGCTTTGCCCTGGCTGGGAATAAAGTTAGCAATATCTGAGATTTATACATTTTTTAAATGTTTTCAAGACATTTTGCATATATTCTCTGTCTCTCTCTCTCTGTCTCTGTCTCTGTCTCTGTCTCTCTCTGTCTCTCTGTCTCTGTCTCTCTCTCTCTCTCTCACCAACAACCCAGTTATTTAGGTACTGTTGGGATTATGATACCCCAAATTGCTAAAAAGGAAACTGAGGCTCACAAGGCTTGCCAGTGCCACAGGCAGGTTTGGAACCCAGGTTTCTCTTAGTTTCTGTTCTCTTTTCATCATTCACTGCTAAATACCAAGAAATCTAAAATAGCTATTAGACTCAGCTCTGCACTGGTGATACACAGTGAAGTACATTTTGTACATTGGTAGATGGGTAGGGGATTAAGGGCAGATTTTGGAAGGATCGTGAATAAGCCCAAATTCTGATTTGATCTGTGTAACTTCCAGCAAATCACTATCCCTTTTGGGGCCTCAGTTTCTGGGCTCTTTGACTTGATGACCTCCAGGATTTCTTCTGGCTTTAAAAGTTGTGGTGCTATAGGGCGAGAGATGAGAGAGTGGAAAGAGCACTGACTTCAGCATCCAAGGATCCAGGTTCAAATCCTACCTCTGTCTATTGCTGTCTGTGTGACCTTGGGCACTACTGCACCTTGCCTCAGTTTCTTCACCCATAAAATGAAGTCATGGAACTCGATGGCCTCAGAAGTGCCACTCTGGATCTAGACTTATTATCCTATAATCATATCATCCTGGCCATTAGTAACACGGAATAGCTCCCAAGCATAAAGTACTCTAACATTTGCAAAGTACTCTACAACCATTGCCTCATCTGAGATGGCATGGTGCCTGATACATAGCAGGCTCAATAAATCCCTATGAATTGAATTTAAAGGAGGGGGGGATGTGATGATAAACATGCTGGCCATTAAAGGTTCATCCTACTCTCCCTCTCTTCTCCTGACCATCCTTATCTCTGGATATACTACTCGATAAATGTCTGCCTCCTTTCATAGTGCCTGAAATTTCACCATTAGCCATTTATTCATTAAAAAAAACCCAAAAACAAACACACACAAAAAAACTCCAAGCAAACAACAAAATAAAATAGGAGAGCTGACCAAAGCTCAAACAGGAACATCTTTAGAATCAGGACTCCAACATGGACAGCTCTACCTTTAACGTGATTGTGACCAAGTCCTGGGGGCAGCTCTGAATTAGACTATCTAGATCTTGGATGGGGTTCCAAAATCACTTGTTGGTTAGTTTCTAAGGGTCCTAAGTGCCATTCTTAGACTCTCTATTGAGGATAGCATTCAGAGGAAATGAACCAGGATGGTAAATAGCCTTGGGTCCATACCCTATGAGGTTTGGTTTGAGGAACTGGGAATGTTCAGACTGGGGAAGAGAAGACTTGGGGTTACTTACATGGAATTATTGAAAGAACTGTCATGTGGAGGAGGAGAGAGTAAAACCAGTTACAAAAATCTAGTTTAGGCTGCACGTCAGGAAAAACTGCCAATTAATTAGAGCTGTTTCAAAGGATCATACGCCTTCAGAGGGACTTGGTTTCCCTTCCTTGAAGGTCTTCAGGCATAAACTGGATGACAGCTTATTGGGTATGTTATAGTGATGATTCCTTTCGTATGTGGTTTGGGCTGGATGGCTGCCAATGTTCCTTTCAATTCTCAAATTCTAGGAAGAAAGCCTGTGCTCTCCACTCCTTCATGACAAAACTAACTTCATCTCCTTTCTTGATAAAATAATGAAACTGTAAGGTAAAGGGAACTGTGTAGATATAGTTTACCTATATTTTATAGAACCACTTGAACCTCATGGCATTCTTGGGGACAAGATGGAGAGACACGGGCTAAATGATAGGTGGATTTGTAATTGGCTGAATGGCAGGACCCCCAACATAGTCATTGATGATTTGATGTCAGCTGGAGTGCCTCAAAGATCTGGGTCTAGCCTTGTGGTGTTGAATATCTTTATCAATGACTTGGACAAAGGCACAGATGGCATGTTTATCAAAATTAGCAGATGGCACAAATTGAGAGGACTGTCTTGCACACTGGAAGGTAGAGTCAGGATGGGAGAAGAAAAGATCTCAACAGACAATACATTAAGATGAAACTAGTAAGATGAAATAGAATGGGAAAGAATTTACAAATGTAAACTTTTCTAGCCAAGTTCAAGCAATCAATTTCACAAACTAGATGCTATCTCAAGATCTGGGAGTCAACAGCCCCTCAGTATGTTAGTCCTTCAAAAGCTAACACGACCCTTAGATAGGCTACATTAAGAAAGGTTTTATATCCAGGACAAGGAAGGGAATGCAAATTCCTTGAGGGCAGGATTACCTCTTTTTTTCTGTATGTGTACCTCCAGCATCTAACAGTGCCTGGCATGCAGCTGATGCTTTGCAAATGCCTGATTGTTGATGGATCAATTGATTATTCCATTGTATTCTGCCTTGGTCAGACCCCACCTGAAATACTGTGTTTGGATCATAAGGAAGGCATTGACAGATTGTAGAGTATCCAGAGGGGAGGACCTGAGCGATGAAAGGCCTTGAGATGCAGCCATAAGAGGGTCAATGGAAAGAAGCAGGAATTAGCCTGGAGAAGAGAAGAACTGCCAAATATAAAAGAGCTGTCTTCACGTGTCTTAAGGGCTTTCGTGTGAAAGAAGGATTAGCTTTGTTCTGCTTGTCCCCAGCAGGCTGGAGCAGTAGTAACAGGTGGAATTTGTGACCAGGCAGATTTAGACACCCTGTAAGTGATGACCCATATTGATCTTGCAAAGGCATTGCTCCTTGTTGGAGTGGCTTTCCTCCATTGTTAAATGAGGGGATCAAATTAGATGGTTTAAAAGTCTGCTTTGGGTTTTTGTACAAATAAAGCCAATGCAACCAAGATTAGGAGGGAAGCAGAAAACTGGGAAAGAATTTTTACAACCAGTGTCTCTGATAAGGGCCTCATTTCTCAAATATATAGAGAACTAAGTCTAATTTATAAGAATACAAGTCATTCCCCAATTGAGAAATGGTCAAAGGATATGGACAGGCAGTTCTTAGATGAAGAAATTAAAGCCATCTACAGTCATATGAAAAAATGCCTTAAATCACTTTTGATTAGAGAAATGCAAATCAAAACAACTCTGAGGTACCACATCACACCTATCAGATTGGCCAACATGACAAAACAGGAAAATGGTAAATGTTGGGGAAGGTGTGGGAAAATTGGAACACTAATGCATTGTTGGTGGAATTGTGAAATGATCCAACCGTTTTGGAGAGCAGTTTAGAACTATGCCCAAAGGGCTATGAAGATGTGCATACCCTTTGATCCAGCAATAGCACTTCTAGGGCTGTATCCCAAAGAGATTATACAAATGGGAAAAGGACTAACATGTACAAAAATATTTATAGCAGCTCTTTTTGTGTTGACAAAGAATTGGACATTGAGAGGATGCCCATCCATTGGGGAATGGCTGAGCAAGTTGTGATATATGAATGTAATGGAATACTATTGTGCTATAAGAAATGATGAACAGGCCGACTTCAGAAAAACCTGGAAAGACTTGTGTGGTCTGATGATGGGTGAAGTGAGCAGAACCAGGAGAATGTTGTACACAGTAACAGCCACATTGTTCAATGACGAACCTCAGCAATGCAAGGATCTAAGACATCTCCAAAAGTCTTATGATGGAAAATGCTCTCCACATCCAGAGAAAGAACTAGGGAGTTTGAATGCAGATTGAAACATGCTATTTGCTAATTTTTTCTGCTGTTGAGTTTTGTTCCCTCTTTCTGGTGGTCCCTCCTATTGGTTCTAATTCTTCCTTACAACATGACTAATATGAAAATATGTTTAATAGGAATGTGTATGTATAGCCCACATCAGATTGTGCATTGTCTTGGAGGGGGGAGGGGAGAGGAGGAGGAAAATTTAAAACTCAAAAGCTTATGGAAGTGATTGTTGGTAAATCAAAATAAATTAATAAAAAAAATTTAAAAAAAAGAAAAAAGTCTCCTTTGTACTTTAAAATCTGTGATCTACTTATGAGATGGCTGGGTATGGACACCTATACAATCACCTCCTCTGGGCTTCTAAAGACATAAAATCCCAAAGTCTTAGAGCTGGAAGGGCACTGGAAGGTCATTACAGAGGAGGAAACCAGTTCAGAGAGATGTGACTTGCCCAAGGTCAAACACATAAGTAGTCAGAAATAAGGGAATGGTGAACAGGGAATTTACCAAACCATCTCTACTGTTTCCAACCATGTGTGACTCAGCACTTGGATGCTTCTGGCCAATCATACTTGTGACTCAGCACTGAAAAACTCCTGAGATGAGGAAGCACCCCCAACTATACACTGAGCAGGAGGAGCCGATGACTGGATCTTGCTGTGTGATTGTGCGTTTGGGCCAATGCGTTTTGTGTTGGATCTTTCATTAATTTCAGTGCCCAAATGGCAATCTTGGTTATAAAATCTGAGGCCATCTTGTGTGTTTGACAAGTTCAGGCTCTTGGGTTAATTAGCTGGATCTTACTAACAGCTGGGAGAAGAATCTCCAACAAAGGGAAGGGAATGGAATGGAAGGGAACAAGCATTTAAATAATGTCTGCTATGTGCCTGGTACTAGGCTAACTACTTCACAAACATCATCTCATTTAATAGAAGGTGACCACTGTCAGGAAGATAAACTCAACCCCTGGCCCAGCTTGTGAGAACACATAGTCTATGAGAGGATCAGTGCAGAGCCGAAGGGAAATGTGGAATACTGTTTGATGGTCTCATAGACTTTTTTATGTTCTGATGTGTTGATTCAACCACCTGGCAGATTGCAATAGTAATTATGAATTTTGAGTTATTGATTATTTAACTCTTATTAATGTGAGTCTTTCGTGTCTTTTAAAATTTCTTTTGCGGGTGGGAAACAAATAGCTGTCCCATACCTGACTCATGTTGTGCATTGACTTCCTTTCGACTCCCCTTTTTGGGAGAGCCTGAACATAAACTTCCCGTTGAAGGTAGCCCCTGGCACCTTTGCTATTAATGAGCTGTTTCTCAGTTGTACCCAACTCTTTGTAGCCTTGTTTGGAGTTTTCTTGGCAAAGATACTGTGCTGTGTTGTTGAGTCATTCCAGTCATGCCCAACTTCCTGTGATTCCATTTTGGGGTTTTCTAGGCAAAGATACCAAAGCGGTTCGCCATCTCCTCATTTTACAGACAAGAAACCTGAGGCAAAAAGAATTAAGTGCCTTGCCCAGGGTCACACAGCTAGTAAGCATCTGAGGCTTGATTGAATTTAGGAAGATGAATCTTCATAATTCCAGGCCCTGTGATCTATTCATTGTCACCTAGCTGTTCCTGTGGCCTTTAGTCAGTAACATTAAGCTTTAAAGAATTTCCATCTCTATTCCCCTACCCCTGACCTGGGGTACAAGGTGCGAGATATAGCAAGCCGAACAACATGAGAAAAGAACTCTGACCTGTCATGGTAAGACAGGCTATCCAAGATCTAAACACAGATCAGACTATGAGCAGAGGGGCCCCTTAAAGGAGAAGGAAGGGGGATGAGTACCTTAGCTCCTTGGGCCTAGAAATGGATTTTTAATTGTTAGAGTCGCAAAGTCCAGATTGGAAACCAGGTTGTTTGACTTTATATTCAATTCTATTTAATAATAAGAATAATTAACATTTATATAGCACCTATCATGTGCTATGGTGTTCTTGAGTCATTTCAGTCATGTCCAACTCCCTGTGACCCCATTTTGGGGTTTTCTGGGCAAAGAAACTGGAGTGGTTTGCCATTTCCTTCTCCCACTCATTTTACAGAAGAGAAAACTGAGGCAATCAGGGTTAAGTGACTTGCCCAGGGTCACATAGCTAATAAGTGTCTAAGGCCAGATACAGATATTTCATTTAATCCTGAAAACAACCATGGGACGTAGGTGCTATTATTATCCCCATTTTTACAGATGAGTAAACTGAGGTCCAGCATCTTGCCCAGGGTCTCACAGCTAATAAGTGTCCAAGGCCAAATTTGAATTCAGGTCTTCCTGATTCCAGGCCCAGCATTCTCTCCACTACCATAGGAAAGCTGATACTTTTTGACTTACAACTCTCTACTAATTTTCAGACTTTTTAATGAAACTTTACTTATTAGAGAGAAATTAAAAACAAATAAACAAAGAAAAAACAACCCTTTCTCCTGTCTAACTATTCTGGCCTTTAAATTTGATATAAACCCAACAAAAAGATCCATTACTTCAGGTACTTGGAATATTCAGGCCCAGAACCTCCCATGCTCAGGAGGTGATAATTGAGGGGGAAAGCAGTGCCTGGGTCACTCTAATCGGGCTTAAGTGAAATTACTGGCAGGTATCCTGGGGACCCTGGAGGCTTTATGTGCTTTGTAGACTGCAGGAAGGGAAGAATGGAAAGGGTCAGACAAGAAGGTCACCGGCAGCTGCTCACTTAGCAGGATCACATGGATTCAAGGTCTAGAACTGGCAGGAACCTCTCACAGACCATTAGGTCCAACCCCCTTGTTTTTCAAGTGAGAAAGTGAGGCAAACAGAGAATAAATGACTTGCCCAAGGTCACACAGCTGGTAAGTGTCTGTGGCAGAATCTGAACTCAGTACTTGCTGACTCCACGTCTGGTGATTTATCTAGCCCACGTTGCCTCTTGGCTTCCAAGCCCCCAGTTCACTACCCTTTCTCCCATCCCCTCATTGCCTCCCTGGAGCTGTTGCTTGACACTCATCTGAGTTATTTGCTCAAGATCCGCAGATGACCTTGGTCATGAGAAAGTAGAGGTCCTTTCATCAATCTCTCCATCTATCCTCAAAGACCTTGGGAATGACTGTCCCACAACACTCTGCCCACCTAATTCAAACATCGATTATTTGTAATACCTAGGCTGTGTTACCAGTGACCATTATAATACGGTACTTTAAGGTTTGCAAAGCATTTCACACGCATTATGTCCCTTGATCCTCGAAATAACCCTGGGGGGTGCTGTAATTATCACCCTCATTTCATAGAGGAGAAAGCTGAGGCTCACAACCAGAGGACTTTTGACTTCCTCAGGCTCCTATAGGTAGTCAGTGCCTAAGGGAGGATTTGAACCAGTTTTCTCATTTCCAAGTGCGGCCCTCTATCTGTCAGTGCCATCTAGCTGCCTGCAGTAGCATGGCCCCCCACTCTACTCCCGGTGCCCCAGGGCATGCATTTCTAAGATGGCAGGCAGTATCAAGAGTAGGGCGTGGAGCCACCGAACAGAAGGAAATTGACAAGCACAAATGGCATCCCAATCCCGGCTTTGCTCTTGTTAACACCATGTTCTAATCCACTGGATGCTAAATTTACCAAGAGGGGAGGCATTTCCCCCTCTCGGACCTCCTGGGTAGGAAGGATAAGCCTTGGTCAAGTCCCCACCTTTCCTTTTCTTAATTACATCCCTTTGATCTTTTCCCAGACTAAATAAACCACTTTTCCTCCCTGCTGGGTTTCCACCTTTTAAATATTTGCTTTGCTTGTTATCTTCTTTTTCCTCAGTTGTCACTTAGCTGAGATGTGTTTATTTTCCTTCTTTAATCTTTCCGCCTAAATCAGTTCCTCCCCGCCCTTCATCTTTCAGGCTGCTTTTGACCAAAACAGCAATTCTTATTTCTGGAACCAACTCCCTCCTTCTCCCACCCCCAATCCCAGGTGTTTTCATGATGACTCCTTGAGGTTGAATTTTTCCAGGTGGGGAAATGGTTTTGGAAAATTTGGCAGGAATTAGAATCTCAGCAGATTCCCCGGACCTGGGAGGCAGATCATCGTGGGTCAGCATTCTGAGCCAGAGGGACCCAGAGGCCAGTGGACCAAAGCCCAAGTCCCTGGGATTCCAGCAAGTCTTACATATATGTTTTCAGATCCCAAAGTCCTCTAAAGCACAGCTCAGGGGCTATCTCCAATCCAAGGTCTCTCCTGATCCTCCCATGTGTCAATTGGATCTCCCTCTTGCAATTACTCTGTATTAATATTTGTATTTACTTTCCCTGCCAATAAATTGTTAACTCTTTCAGGACAGATACTGTTTCATTGAGGCTGCTGTACTACTAGGGCCTAGCTCGTGTTAGACTTTTTTTTCCTAAAATTTTCAGTGCCTAGCACTAATGGATGCTTATTTAATTAATGCTCATTATTTGCTTGATTGATATGGTAACACTCTTCTCTCCCCCCCCCCCCCGCAGAATATCATCTCTGGAGGGTGTCTTCTGAGCCTAGCACAGTGCCTAGGGCTCCATGACATCTGGTAGGTACCCAAAAAATGCTCCATGAATCGAAAATGGTCCCCATAAGGAAGAATGGGTTATATACAGAATTGTAATATTTGCCAAGGGATAGCCAAATGAGCCCTGGATCTCTCATTCTCTTCTTTTCCAGCCATTCAAACGTATGCCTCCAGGAATGAGGGGGAATACCTGTTTCTCTTGTGCTTCTTTGAACTTTTCTTCTTCTTCTTTTTTACTGGAGATGGACTATAGGAAGTGGACCTATCAAGGGAAAGGAATACAGCTTAGAAAAGGACTTGTAGGGGAGAGGCTTGAAAAATGAAAATCAGCAGCTCATATTAGGTCTAATGCCCGACAATGTACAAACTGCTTTTCCCACAACAACCCTGTAAGGTAGATGGTAATACAATCTTTTAAATTAAAAAAAACCACTGATACAGTTTGTTTTGTCTTTCTCTGCATTTCCAAAAATCGTCCTCACCCTTCCCCACCCCAGAGAAGCGTTGACCAAGACAAAGAATAAAAAAGAGAGGAGGGATTCTTCACCTATACAATGGCTATCATATTGCTTGCCTTCTCAGTGGATGGGGGAGGGGCTGGAAGGAGGGAGACAATTTGGAATTCAAAATAAAAAGAAAATGAATGTTAAGAAAATTTTATGCATTGGATAGAGCACCATCCCTGGAGTCCAGAGGACCTGAGTTCAAATTTGACCTCAGAGATTTTCTAGCTGGGCATATCACTTAACTGTAATTGCCTCTCAAAACAGAGCAAAAAGCTTAAAATAAGAGATAAGGAGAAAAAGCAACCCAGTTACATTAAGCTGCACAGCCCCAGAATCTGACAGGATGGGCAACATTCCATATCCATAGCTCCCTACTCTGAAAAGAATAGAGCAAATAGTATTATCCTATTTTGCAGATGAGGAAACCAAGGCACAGGGTGGAGGGGTGACTTAAGTGCAGTCACTCCCTTAGAAAACTTCAGCACTGGGACCTGGACTCAGGGCTTCTAACCCTGGTCCAATGCTTTTCCTGTTTTAGAGGTTGGATGCTGGGGACACGTTGGAGGCAGAGTCCCACTCCTGAAAGAGGCTGTGGAGGGGGTGTTCAAGGACGGCAGCTCAGTAGAGCCACCTGCCTCTAGCCCAGGTGGGATTGATGAGGTGGGAGGGGAAGAAGGAATGATTTCTTTCTAAGGGATTCTGGGGAGATAATGATGGGACTATTGCAGGTGAGGACCATAGAGTAGGAACAGAAATTGAGTGGCTAAGGGGTGGGGTGGGGGGAGGACCCTATCCTCGTCTCTCTGTGGAGCCCAGCTCTCCCTCATGCTCTCTGTTCTCTTCTCTTGCCAATGTTCAATTGAATGTATTGAATACCAGAGGATCACTTTTCTGCCATCCTCAAGCTGAATGAATGATCTAGTGATTTCTCCTTAACTTAATGTGGTCCTAAGGGGGCTGAGTTTGTCCACACTGCTTTTATCATGACAACAACCTCAAGCCTACACCTCTAAACCTCTCATCTTTGCCTGGCTTTAGTCAGCTTAAGAAAATGTGAGTTAAGACCTGGCTCCTGGGAGCCCTGCCTCCTGCCTGGTCAGGAGGGTGGCAGAGTGGGGTTGATACTATATGGGACCTGGAAGGGACCTCAGAACAGGCAATGTCAGAGGTGGGATTTGGGGTGGTGGGTTGAAGATGGGACCTTAGAGATGATTCTATTCAAACTGAGGGGAAGTGATTTGTTCAGGCGCTAACCACACTAGGCTATATCCTCATGCCCAGTTTCCTTCAATATGGCCAAAGTTGCTAATAGACGTGATATAATACCTCCCCAACAGGCCTCAGAGGGAGCCACCAGGCCAATTACCTCTTCTCCTTCCTTTCTTTACCTGCACCCCAAGCAGGCTTGTCAGGCAAAATTTCCAGCCCAAATCCAACAAATATGCTGACTAAGGTGCTGGAGGCCGTACTGGGTGCTTAGTAAAGAGAGACAAAAGGGAGATTAAAATAGTCCCGGCCCTCTAGGTGCTTATATTCTGAGAATATTTATGGGCTACGGCTCAAGGCCCTTCACAGTCACTGCTACACAACCCATCAGCCCCAATGTGAATGATCGCTGACCCCCAGGACCTGGTGGCCATGGCCCAGGGGGTCTAGCCACCCTATATGGGATCCTCCTGAGGACAGTCCCACAGAATTCCTGGCCTATGGCCCAGGGCTCCTCCCAATCCAATTAAACATTCAGTAAACATTGTATGCTTGTGCTGGAGATAAAAAGACAAAAATGAAATGTCTCTTAACCTCAGCAAGCTGACAATGTGCCCTGTCCTTTGATCCTAATTCAGGTCCTTTTTTTGGCCATATGTGAAGCTCCCTCCTAATTACCCTTAAATTGGGGTGTTTATGAGCATCAGAAAGATGCCTTCCCTGATTTGTATGGTCTGGTATTCTCTTTTACAATCCAGCCTCTACAAGTTTAGATTAGAACTACTGCATAGGTCTGACCAAAGGCGAAATTATGAAGAATGTTCTCTTTATTTACTCTAACATGCTGAGATCTTTCTGGCAACAACAGGTCCCTCCAATAGCCCAGGTGTTTGTTTCACGAGGTTTTTTTTTTCCAGGTGATTAAACTTTCTAAAAATTATTCAGAAGCCAGCATCCCAGCATGCCTCATGGCCTAGAAGTCAGCTCAACACCCAGGGAATTGAAAGGAACACTGCTCTTAGCGTCAGAAGACTTGGGTTTGAACCACTGTTCAAGAACACACACACACACACACACACACACACACACACACACACGGAATTTTAGGAGGCAAAGGTAAGGAGGTGATGCCTTCCAGACATGAAGGACATTCTGTACAAAGACATGGAGGTGGAAGATGAACTCATCTGTTGGCTAGTCTCCTCTTTGACTATAGAGCTCCATTGGTATTGGGAGCCCAAGGGCTGATCTGTGCATAGACTTCTTACCTCCTGCTGCTTTGCATTGTGGCAAGCCTCCCTTGTCTATCTCTGACCTACCCTCTTGCTCTTTGTGTATAAGGGGGAGGGGGTTATCTGCTAGAGAGAGGCTCTTGCACCAGGTTGTTATGGAAGTGCACCTCCAGCTGAAAACTCATGTGAATGTGGAGCGGGGATGCAGTCTAGGGTTGGTCTCTGCTGCTGCCTGCAGGCTCCTGTGTGCACTGCCCTAGGGTACCCTTGTTTTAGGAGCTGAGGTTCTTTTTCCAAAGCCGTAGTGGAGCTCTGGAGGGTCACAGAATATCCTTGCCTCATCTTTTAAGATCTCTGGTTCTGGAGCCATATTGTCCTAACTCTTTACCCAATTCTGCTCCAGATATGACAATATCCTCTGTAACGTAAAGAGCTTCCTTTCGAATAAGTGTTGTTTCCTTCTTCACATACCCATTTCATTACCAAGGGCCTGGCATTGAAGGTCCCTAACCAAAGACTGGATGTTCCTTGAGAACAGAGACTATTCATGCCTATCTTTGTATCTCCAGTCAGGGAGTATTTATTAAGTTTCTTCTATGTGCCAGGCACTGCGCTAAGTGCTTTGTATGAGGATGCCAGGGAAGGCAAAAAACCATTCTTGCCCACAGGAAGCTTATAGTCTAATGGGAGAGACAACATGAAAACAGCTGTGGACAAATGAGATCTCTGGATATCTATACCTATATGCTAATATCTATTTATTAATCTACTATGGTTATCTATCTAGATACATACATATTTACTTACCTATTTACTAATTCACTATATCTATCTATATTTACTAATTTACTGCAGCCATCTATAGCTATATTTGTTTCCATATGTAAATTTACTAATCTACTATATATATCTGTTTGCCTATATATTTACTTATATCTATTTGCTAATTTACTCTATAGATATATATGTATAGATTTCTCTGTGTCTCGGTCTCTGATTCTCTCTCTCCATCTCTATGTCTGTCTCTATCTCTTTGTCTCTATATCTCTGTCTCTCTGTGTCTCTTTGTCTCTGTCAGTCTCTGTGTCTCTGTCTCTGATAAATTAAGGGCAATCTCAGAAGACAGTCATTAGATTGAGAAGGATTGGGAAGCTTTCTTGTAGAAGTTAAGACTTGAAGGAAGCCAAGAAGGCTTCCCCAGACCCTAGCCCAAACCCTGGCAGTGTGAGGTGCTTAATAAATTCCTGTTGATTAATCATTTGCATATATGTTGTATCTCCCATTAGGTTGTAAACTCTTTGAAGATCAGGATTTTCTTTTTCACTTTTATCATTCTATTCCCAGTCCTCAGAATAGGGATTGGCACATAGTGGATTCTTAAAAAGAAAAAAAAAACATCTTATTGATGGATTCATTGGCTCCCACTTGGAATCCCTCCAGGGTTGTTTAGATGTCCTATCAGCCCCATGCTTTCTCCTGGATAAGGTATCAAGATGGAGATCTTCTGTAATATTCTTGAAGCTCTGCAGCATCTGGGTCCGGAACACCCTTTCAGCCCTATCTCAAGTCCCAAGGGACTGCAAGCTCCTTGAGAACTGAGACTGTGTCATTCTTCATTGTTTTCTTGGGAACTTCAATCCATGTAATAGGAACTAAATGAAGGTTTTGGGGTTGGATCTAATGTCTCCCTCAACAATCAGAGACATATTCAACACATCCCCGGCTTCCAATGATAACCTCTTATGGGACCAATGCTTCATCTTGGAATGGTAAAGCTAAAAAAGACCACTACAGTCAGTGTTCAAGTTCCATCTCATTTACTACCTTTGTGCCTTAGATAAATCACTTAGCCTCCATGACTAAGGTCCCTCATCTATTAAATGAGAAGGTTGGAGTAACCAGCTTTCGAGGTCCCTTCTAACTCTAGCTTGATGATGCTAAGATTACATGAAATTAGATTTGGGAGTTGGGTTGATGAAGAATTTGAAGAAGCCTGGTGTAGTGGAAAGAACACTGTACTTGAAGTTACAGGGTCTGGGTTCAAATCCTACCTAAATGTCCTTGAACATAACACCCTGCCCTCCTACGCCTCAGTGGCCTTATGTCTAAAATGAGAAGGAAGGGTTGGACTAAATGGTCTCCAAGGCCCCTTTAAGTTCTAGCTCTAGCAATCAATTAAAAGCATTTATTAAGTGCCTGCTGTGGGCTGGCCACTATGCTAGGATCTTGTGGGCAAGGAAGACAGAAGGATGAATGGAAAGAATGCTGCTTTTGATGTTGGAAGCTTGGAATTAACCCCTGGCTATGCCATTGCTACCTGTGTGAGATGTTAGGTACATCTCTTCCCTTCTCCAATGCCTCAGTTTACTCATCTGTAAAATGAGGTGGTCAGTGTCATCGAATGGCAACTCTCCCCAGTGCAGCCAGCACCAGATTAAAATATAATTGGGAAATATTTAACAAAATATACGAAGACATAATAAAACATAGATAATGGTTATTTGTGGGTTTCTAAGTCAATATGCAAACAGCAGCGAGGTAGGGTGGTGTATAGAGCTCCAGATCTGGAGTCAGGAAGACCTGACTTCAAGTCCAGCCTCAGATATTTACTAGTTATATGGCTGGCCCCGGGCAAGTCACTTGACCCTGTTTGCCTCAGTTTCCTCATCTGTAAAATGAACTGGAAAAGGAAATGACAACTCTCTGGTATCTTTGCCAAGAAAATCCCAAATGTGTTCATGAAGAGTCAGACATGATTGAAACAGCTAAATAACAACAACAAAGTCAATATGAAGCTAGCAGGGATCTTTAGGTGTGGCTTAAGCCTTTTTCTCTTGAGTTTGACCCCACTGGGCTAAATGACTTCTAAGGCCCTTTCCAACTCGAGGCCTGTCCCATGGTACTGGACGTAGGCTCTGCTTGGCTCTGTACCAAAAAACACAGGTTGTCATTTCAGCAAGCGTTCCAGGGCCTCTGTTGGCCAAAGCTCCCCTTGGCCAACACTCCACCCCATGCTACGATCCAGTAGGACTCTCTCAATTTAGTTAATTTCAAGCATGTATTAAGTTGTACGTGGGAGGCCTTTTCTCCTCTTACATGTGAAGACACTGAGGTTCAGAGAGATAAGAAATGATCTGCCCGTTGGTCACACAGCAAGTTCACACTCAGCTCTCAAACCCCAACCTCCAGACATCTTTCTCCTACTTGACCCCAGTGCGTGGCTGCTCTAGCTTAGCGCCACACAAGAGAACTAAAATGTTCCTCGCTTGGTCCTCCTCCAGTTCTTCCTCCAAACTAGGAAGACCTCACCTCCTTCGCTTCTTCCGGGCCGATTTCTTCTTTTTCTTCTTGCCCCTGGAGGAAGGCGGTGGGGTAAAGTCCTTGTCCCGGAAAGCACTGTAGAGATACAAAGGATGAGCAGTAAGGGGGCCGTAACTAAGGTGGGGCAGTAGGGCCCAGAACCAGAATGGAGATGGTGCTGGCAATACATTGGCAGCTTAGAAACAAAAATGTTTTTAAAACCTTAAAAATTTGCTGTTCAGGTTTGAATTGAGCCTGGGAAGCCTAGCAACTCTTCTACAACTTACATACCTGATTTAGAGTTGCCTGGGGCACTGAGGGGTTAACTGAATTTCCAAGAGTCAGAATGTATCCGGTTTTGAACCAAGGTCATTCTGACCTTAAGGCCAAGGCGCTACAGTATACTGCCTCTGCTTTTGATGACTTATTTGGCCTTCTCTCTCTTCCACACCACACACATTGGCCATTCCATATGCCTAGATGCTCTCTCTCCTTAAATCCCTCCTCATAGGGTGTCTCTTTTCCTTTAATGCTTAGCCCAATGCCTGGCACATTTTAGGGGCTTAATAAATGTTGCTTGATTGATTAAGACCCAGCTCAAACACCATCTTCAGCATGAAGCAACCGTTCCCATCCTCCCTTACAAACCTGCTGTTCAGTCATTTGCAGTCATGTCTAGTGACTCTCCATGACCCCATTTGGGATTTTCTTGACAGAGAGACTGAAGTGGTTTGCCATTTCCTCCTCCGGCTCATTTTACAGATGAGGAAACTGAGGCAAACAGAGTCAAGTGACTTTCCCAGAGTCACTAAAGTGCTAGGAAGTGTCTGAGGCTGAATTTGAACTCAGGTCTTTCTGACTCCAGGCCCAGTGTCTATCTGCTGCGCCACCTACGAACTACCTTGTATCTATTCACTTCATATTTATGCAGCATATATTTTTATATGAACTTGTCTCCCCCATTAAAACATAAGCATGTTGTAAGTAGTTATTATCTCATTCTTTTTCTTTGTATCTCCAATGCCAAGTACAGAGTCTGATATTTAGGGAGTGTTCAAGAAACGCTTTTGGATTGTTTCTTTTTTTTGTTTTCATTTTTGAACAGACCTGTGATTTCACCCAGGTTGGGAACTCCAGGTGAAGAAACTCCCTCTGCCAGTGCATACCAACTCCTTCTCGGCAATTCCAGCTTAGATGGGTCTGGATGCTGAGGAGTGAAACCCCTTGCCCAGGGTGGTAAATGACCATCGGATCCCGACCCCAAGGAAGTCAGTATTCCACACTGCCTCTCCTTGCTTCTCAACACTCCCAAATGTCTGCCATGTTTATTTCCTTGGGGATAACACCCCAGATGACTCTCCTTCAGGCCTGGCTGCCTTAGCATCAGCCTTGCAATTTCCATGGAACTTTGCTTATAGCCCAACTTGACCCCTTGCCCTGGTCTGTCCCCCAGCATTTGAGGTACATCTCATGACCAGGGGGCAAACATCATTAGCTGCAACCCTGGTCTTATTGATCCCACCATTGGGTTCCTGGGGACTATTGCCAGTCCTCACGGACCTTGATTCCCAGTCTATCCAATAAGCAGGACCAATGCTTGATTAACATTCCATGCCTAATTTGGTCACACTTCAAATTAAGTATCTCAAATAAGGAGTTAATGTAGATCTAATGAGACGGGTGGTATGTTACCCAAGTGGCAATTGATTATATTCAATGTATTTATGGAGGTTAATGACTCTGTAACAGATTTATTATTGTACATTCAAATGGTTCACCTTGGTAAATAAATAACTTTTTAAATAATGAATTGGCATTTAGGTGCCAAGGAGTCACGACTGCCTCTACTATTCTGACTGCAACTTAATAAGGATGTAAAATATGTTAAATAACAGCTGATTATTAAAAGCATATTTGCCAAGGTGTAATGGAATGAGAACTGTCACCAATACTTTCTCCCCCTGCCTTAAAAAGGCTCCATCCCTTGGAATAAGCGTTTTTCCCCATGCAAAGCAGGTTCCAACTCAATTAAATTAAAATGCACAGGAGGTAGGTAAATGAACTCAAGTTATCTCCTGGATAATGGGACTGGATTGAAGGCCGTTAAACACACCATTTCAGGAGTAAAAAGGGATGATTTGGGATGAAGAGTCACTTGACATTCAGCAGATGCAAATGTGGGCTAACCTCAATAATTCACCCTAACTAAGGGAAGGTCAAGATGACCCTGAAAAGTCTGGCCAGTAGGAACAGGAAAAATATATGTGATTATGGAGTCAATTTATTAAATATTATTAAGCACCTACTGTGTGTTCAGGTGGAGAGCTGACCTCAGTCAGGAAGAATTCAAACCTTACCTCTTACCTCTGACCCCTGCTGGATTGATGACCTGGGTCTTTCTGGCTTAAAGGCCCAGCTTTCTATCTACCACATCACCCTGAGTTGAATGGGAAGAGGGCAGTCTGGATTACCTGGAAGTTGTGAAGCTCTTTTATGGGCCCCAAGACTTCCAAGAAAGCCAAGTCTCACCATTTCAATATTAATATTTTACTATTTTTGCTGTGTGACAGTGAGTCCTGGAACATCACTGCCTCCAAAGAATAAAAAAGAAGTAGGAATGGAAACCCAGCTCTTCCTAACTCATGGTGGGTGTGGGCAAGGCACAATGGTTTATTAAGAAGAACTTGAAAGAAGAATCGGGTGATAGGAAAAGAAGAAGGGCTGGGCCATGTAGAAGGTGAGGGATGATCGAAAGACAGGCGGAATGCTCCATGGATGGCTTGGCAATTTGGGGAGAAATCAGAAAAGGCTTCCACCATATTGGATAGACCTGCTGGGTCAAGTTGGTGGGAAGACATGGAAGAGCCACATAGGCTGGCCAGGCAAAGATGGGAGATGCGTGGTAATCTACATTGCTGGGATCCCAAAGTCATGGGATCCCAGATTCCATTTGTATTAGAGAGGACATGAAAATAGACAAGTATATCTCTATCTTTCATGGAAAATCAGAGCATATTACTGATGACGACTGGTGTATATTGTATGGAAAGACAGAGGACTTGAGTTTGAATCTTGGCTCTTCCATAGACTAAGTCTGTGACCTTGGGCAAGTTCTGGGCCTCAGTTGACCCATTTGTAAAATGAAGTGAGTAGGCTTGGTGGCCTGTGAGATCCCTTTGAGTCTTAGCGCTATGGTCCCTATGCAAATATATCACAAAGGACATGTTTGACTAGAAATAAAAATGGGCTTACAGCACTTACTATGTGTGAGGCACTGTGCTAAGCACTTTATAATTATTATCCCAATTGATTCTCATAACAACCTTGGAAGATAGGTGCTATTATTATCATCCTCATTTTTATAGATAAGGAAACTGAGGCAAACAGAATTTAAGTGACTTGCCCAGGGTTACACAGCTAGTAAATGTCTGAGGCTGGATTTGAACTTACGTCTTCTTGACTTCAGGCCTAGAACTCAAGTCATTGCACTACCTAGTTGATTCTCTCTTGTGAGAGATTTATCTCAATAGAGGAGAGGGTGCCAGACATGAAGACAGAAAGACCTGAGTCTGAATCTCATGTTGGACACTTACTAGCTGTGGAACCCTAAACAATTCACGTTTCCTTTTCTGTAAAAGGAGCAGTAAAATAGCATCCCCTAATAGCCGCCCCACCTCTGACATCCTCTCCTCTGAAGCCCCTCCTACCTCTGACATCCCCTGTTCTAAGGCCCCTCCCAGATCAAACACCCCAGTTCTAAGGCCCTTCCCAGCTCTGACCTCGTGCATTCTCAGGGCCCTTCCTCTAATGTTCAATGTTTTTGTGCAATCCTCCTCAAAGCCAGGCCAAGAGCTCCAAGCTCCCCTCCCCCTTGGAGGATCCCTGGATAATCATGAAAGGCTTCTAACCTCCTCTCTTCCCCCCTGCCCTCCTCTCTCAGTGCCAGGCTGCCTTGAGCAGAAATCCCCTTTCTGCCTCCTGAAGATAACTTCCTTTGCCTTTGAAGCCAGACCTGGGCTCTCACAGACTGATAGGATTTAATTGTTTCTGTCCGATTGTAATCAAAGTCTAATTAAAGCCCTGCCACGGGGATATTGGGCCTGGCAGGTGAACAGGCTGCAGATATGACAGCATGGAGCATCCCTCCTCTGCTCTTGTGACCATTCTCATAAAGCAGAGCCAAGAAATGGCTGCTCGTGGAGGGAGAGCGGCTGAGCTTGGGGGGCACTCGGGCTTGCTCACAAAACTTTGGTTACCTTTGTTGTTGATGTTAATTTCCCCTTCCCCAGAGGACTTTATCTCATCCTCTTGGGAAACAGCATGGCTCAGTGCCAAGAGCTGGGCCTTTCAGAGGACCTGGGTACACATCTCTTTTATCTCCATGGGCCTCACTTTCCTCATGAAGATGGACTAGATGGCCAGTGATGTCTCTGCTAACTCCAAAGTTACCATGTCCTGAGTTGGGTTGGAATCTCAGTTTTGCTATTTACTACCTAGCTGGGTAACTCTAGACAAGTCATGTAATTCCTCTGGGCTTAAGGAGTCATATTTGATGACCTGGAAAGTCTCATCTAGCTCCAAGTCTCGTGATCCTTAGAGGCTTAGAGGTACCCCATGCATGAGGGGCTCTGCCATAGAATCATAGGGGAAAGAGGAAAGCAATCACCTGGTCTTTCTGTGGACTTTCTTTTCCCTCTCTCCTTCCTAAGGGGCACTGGGGATTTGGGACTGGGCTGCCTGATTCAAGGGCGTTGCCCAACTTCTCCTCCCATTGGCCTCTGAGCATGATGCCGTGACTTCTGGTACTGGGATTAGACAGGGTTTGACTGAGAGGATTCTAACCCAGTGTCCTGGGGGAATGAGGCTCATGAGAGTGTGGGTCTGGTTTCCCTGTGAGGCAGGACAGTTCTAGGGCACCCTTCTCCTGGGAACTCCAGCAGACCTCCATGTTGGGTGGCTGGGATGACTTTCTCGGCCTGGATCTAGGATGAACCCCGCCCTGGCAAACATTGGTGGTGGGGAGAAGGAAAGTTTCTCATGGGAAAAAATTAATTTATGAAACAACCCACGCTAGAGGAGAGATTTATTCCCCTCCATTATTCTCCCCTTTGCATAGGGAGAATGCTGGGGTCCTTTAGTTCCCTCCCTTAGGAAATCTCAGTGTTTACAGATCATTACCCACTTGACAGAGAGCCTGGCAGAAGGCAGGGTGTGTACATGAATTTAAAGCTCTGGTTAAAAGCTGTCCTTGGGAAGGCGGTGTCTTAGGCCTCACATTGACAGAATCTGGAAGGGACCTTTCAGGTCCTCTAGTCCAACCTTCATTTGTTTATAGAGAAGGAAAATGAGGCCCAGAGTGGGCAAGCACTTTGCCCCACGTCCCACATGTGGAAAGTGGCAAAGCTGGCATCCTGACTCATGTCGTCTCATTCCAAACCCAGCCTTCTAGGCCAATCATCTCATTTACAAATGAGGAAACAGGCCCAGATTGTCAGTACGTGGCAAGAGCCATGATGGGAATCCAGGTCATCTGACTTCAAATCAAGTGCTCTTGTCACACTGCCCAGCAGTCAGTGGTATCTGCACCATGAAATTTTGGCACCCTGGGGGACAGCACTGGTTCCCCTACCCTAGTCATGGCTTTGGGGAGGGGCAAGGTTAGTGACTCACCTGTGTGTCTTGGTGGGTGTGAGTTCCTGGCTAGCCTTTCCCTGCTCCCAGCCGTTGGCAATGGAGGCCTCCTGAGTTGCATGCTGTCTTAGCTTTTTGGGGGGTCCCTCCTCAGCTGGATATGCCACACAGCTCTGAGTTTCAGTGCTAGAGGGAAAAGACAAAGTCATTACAGAGAGACAAGGGCACCTGTGCACCAGCTGGAGTGCTTAGTACAAGACGAGGGTTCCATAAAAGAATAATGACCACAGTATTTGATTTTTATTTAGCATCATTGCCTTTATTCTCAGGCTTGGTATCTCCATAGAGGGTTGAGAAAATGACTAGAAGCCGAATAGTCTCAGCCTCAGTAAACAGAATTATGGCCACGGCCTCATGATGCCCCATCAGGGATCTCCAGTATCCAGAGAGAAGGTAGTGTAGTGCAATGGGAGAAATCTGGGGAAAAATCCTAGAATTCATCTGGCCCAACCCTCCCATTTTACAGATAGAGTAATAGAGGCCCAGAGAAGCACAGTGAGTTGTCCAAGGATATACATATAAGTATTCATGGAATCACAGATTTAGACCTGAAAGAGATTTCCGAGGCCTCCTCACTGTACAGATGAGGAAACTGAGGCCCCAGGAGGGGAAGGGACTTACCCAAGGTCATAGAGCTAGGAAGGAGAAAAACTGAGATCTGAACTCAAGTCCTTTGACTCTAAATCAGGACTCTTTCTGTTGTCATTTGGAAAGCATCAGACCAGGAAACAGGAGGCTGAGTCATTTCTTCCTCCTCCTCCTCCTCCCCCTCCTCCTCCCCTCTTCCTCCTTCTCTTCCTTCTCCTCGTCTTCCTCTTCCCCCTCCTCCTGGAGAAGATTGTCTCTCTGTCCCTTCCAGCTCTAGATGCAGGATTCCACAAGCCCATATCTCCGTGGTCCCTTCTAACTCCCTGAAGATCAATAAGCATTTATTAAGAGCCTGCTGTATAGGAGGCATTAAGCTAAGAGCTAAGCACATGACGGAATAGGTGTAGGGTCCTACGGAACCATAAAGTGCCCCATAAATGGTGTTACTTCAATTTTATTTTCTCAATTATCCAAAATCTGCATTTTCTCTCTCTTTACCTCCATCTCCCATTGAAAAAGAAAAGGAAAATGCCTCCAATAGATGTGATAATTGATCAAAAGAAATTCCTGCATTATCCATGTCCAATACATACTATATAGTGAGACATGTATGGAAATGGAGACACACATATACACATATGTTCCTCTCTATACAGTGTATAGACCACAATATACCACATATTGTGATATATATGTATGCATGTATATGTATGTATACATATGTTTGTGTATATGTATGTATATGTATTTCTGTGTATGGGTATATATATTATGTGATATAGGTATATAAGTCATATCCCTTCTCCTATATATACACATATATACAAATTTATATATTATATATATTATATAATATATGTATATATGTATATATGTATGTATACATGCATGTATGTATGTACGTACATACGTATGTATGTATGTATGTATGTATGTATACAGACAGCAGCTAGCTGACACAGCAGATAGAATGTCAGGCCTGGAGTCTGGAAGAACCATTTTCTAGCTGTGTGACCCTGGGCAAGTCATTTAACCCTGCTTGCCTCAGTTTCCTTATCTGTAAAATGAGCTGAAGAAGGAATGGCAAACCACTCCAGTATCTTTGCCAAGAAAGCCCCAAATGGGGTCCCAAAGAGTGGGACATGACTGAAAACATATATGTGTGCCTTAATCCACATCTTCTTACTCCTTTCCGACAGGAGGTAGGTAGCATGTTTTGTCATGAATCCTTTGGAATTGTGATTGATCATTGCATTGATCAAGGTTCTTGAGTTTTTCGGAGTTGTTTGTCTTTGCAAGATTGTTGTCATGGCCTGCTCTACAGGAAAATAGAAGGGGAAGGGGATAAGAGAAGGGAGGGGGGAGAGACAGAAGAGAAGGCAGACCAGGGGAAGGGGTATTCTGAATGCATGCCATCTTGGGGTGGGGGGAGGGGCGGGAAATTTGGAACTCAAAAACTTGTGGAAGTGAATATTGAAAACCAAAAATAAATAAATGTATATTAAAGTAAAAAAAAAAGATTGTTGTCATGGTAGAAATTGTTCTTCTGATTCTGCTCATTTCATTCTGCATCAGTTCATATATAAGTCTTTCTATGTCTCTCTGAAACTGTCCTTTCATCATTTCTGACAAGTGTTATATTAATCGTGAGCAACGCCAGCAGGATTTAGAACAGGTGGGGACCTTCAAGGTCATCTTGTCCACTCCTTTCATTTTACAGATGAAGAAACTGAGGCACAGAGCATTTCACTGTCTTGACCAAGGTCACACAGCTACTATATATAGGACCATAGATTTTGAGCTGGAAAGGACCCTAGAGGCCAGTGAGTACAGCCCTCTCTCCTTTTTATAGAGGAATAGAGTGAAACACAGAGAGGGAAGGTAGGTTTACCAAGATACCACAGCAAATAAATAGAAGAGTCGGGACCTGAAGTTAACCGCAAGTCTCTGACTCTATTTCTAGACGACTTTGCACAGCAGCCACCATGATGAGGTCTCTGATTCTAAAGCAGACCTCAGCTTTGTCCCCCAAACAGAAAACGGCCTTCACAGCTTTATCCTGTGGAACAAAGTAGTGGGCCGATAGTATCTCTATGTCTACACTTTCCCACAGAGAAAGTAACCATTGTAAGTGCGTCCTTGTGGGAAAAGGGCAGCAGATACAGCCATAGCTATAGGGTTGGTGGAAAGGAAGATCATTTTCTCAGGAGAGCAAAAGAATGAAGGGTACTTCAGGGCCCACTGGGGAGCAGGGGAAAACAGGGAGGCTAGGGACCCTGCTATTGTTAATACTACCTTCTTCTTGAAATTACTTGGTAGCATTTTGTATATGATTCATATTTGTATATCTATATCTATATATGTACGTGTTGTATCTCCCCATTAGAGTGTAAGCTTTCTGAGGGCAGGGAATGGTTTGCTTTTGTATTTGTTTCTCCAGAGTGTAACAGAGTACTTTGAATGTAATGAGCACCTAAATGTGTGTTGAATTGATTCAGCCTCTCACAGTACCTAACACAGACCTTGGCACACAATCAATGCTTTTTAAACTCCGGTGATAATCTATGGAGAATGGTTACCAGTCAATTTCCATTCCCTTCAAGGATGGGACAAGAACATATGAGCTTAAATGATCTGCCCTAGCATCTGAAATCCCACCATGGGCCTTGTTCGTCAGCGACCTGCTGGAGCCATCCACATGCTGCTGAAACATAAGATCACATTTCTAGGTGGAAGAGAATTTGAGGGGGTACCAAGTCTACCCCTCTCTTTGTAAAGGAAGACTTTGAAACCCAGAGAAATGTTTCAATTCAGGAAATATTTACTAAGCACCTACTATGTGCCAGGCACTGTGTTAAGTTCTATGGATACAAAAAGAGGCAAAAAAATAGTCCCTGCCCTCACAGAGCTTACAGTCTAATGGGGGTGACTAGTCCAAGGTCATACAAGTAATAAAATAACAAGTCAGAGCATGGATTGGAACCTAGGTCCTCTGACTCCAATCCTAGTATTTTTTTTCTTACATCAGGGGCAAGCTAGCTCTATTATCAAGATGGAATTGAGTCAGGCATCAGAAAAACTATCATTCCAGAGCTGTGAGAGCCAGTAATAAATTATGTTATGAGGTTATTGCATGACATTCTCCAAATAGGAGAGAGATTTGAGATATAACGGGTTAAGTCTGCAGGCAGAAGATTAAACCTTTGTCCTTTCTAACCCTAAAATTCCATAAAAAACCCTTCCACTTCATTTAATTGGTAGGGACCATTTCATAGTCCCTGAAAAAGGAGCTAGCTTTGAGAGTTGCAATTAGCTGCTATTTAATTGTGAGTGGTTCCAACTTAGAACATAAAATGTCAATGGAGCCAAGGCTTTTGGAGCCCAGAATGTCATAGCATAGAAGGATCTTTGGAATCATAGATTATGAAATGTTAAAGAAGGCATTTTATAAGTCACCTTGTTGAGATTTGAGATACTGTTCAGTCATGTCTGATTCTTTGCAACCCCATTCAAGGTTTTCTTGGAAAAGTTTGTCATTTCCTGGAGTGGTTTGTTATTTCCTTCTCCAGTTCATTTTACAGATGGGGAAACTGAGGCCAGCAGAGTTAAGTAACTTGCCTAAGGTCACAAGTGTCTGAAGTCGGATTTGAAATCCAGAAGATGAGTCTTCCTAACTCCAGGCATGGTACTCTATCCACTGTGCCATCTAGCTACCACTTATAGAGGAGACCCTAAGTGAACTGTCTAATCAAGGTCACATAGCAAGGTCATGGTAGAAACACATCTATTTCAGTGAAGAAGGAGAATGTATTAATACTGGTGAGTTGGTTTGCCAAGAAGCTTTCCACATTCTTTGCAGCTCTATCCCCATTTCAACACACACACACACACACACACACACACACACACAGAAAGAGAGAGAAGAGAGAGAGAGAAGAGAGAGAGAGAGAGAGAGAGAGAGAGAGAGAGAGAGAGAGAGTGCTAAAAGGTAAGCCCAAGCTGCATTTGCTCTTATATCCCAGGCTTCTCCAGACAGCTCATCAAAAGAGGTTTGGGGATTCAGGATCAATCTATCTGATAAGCTATCTGGTCCCTGAGGCAACAGGGAGAGGAGCCCAAACCCAGCCAATATTTAAAGGACAGCAAGAAAAAGTATCCATCACTGTCACTGATCCCATCTTTTTCTGGACAAAAGCCAACAAAGGAGGAAGGAGTTTCCAAATCAAGCCATCCCAGCCCCCCCCCCCAACCCTGTATTTGGCTACCAAAGCAAGTCAGAGATGTAGCTAGGAGATTGGGGAGTCTTGCTTTTTGCCTCTGGGCAGAAGTGATTGTGTGTTGGGGCCATGGTGGTGTCAAGGAGAAGGACAGAGATGTGTAAGGATGCCAGGAGAGGGATGGGAAGGGTGCAGTCTTAGGGGACAGAAGGGAAGTTGTTCAGGCAAGGAGAAAACAGCATGATAACAGGACCCTTTGAGTGGTTGTGCCCCATGAGAATGAGTGCTGGGGGAGGACCGTGAAGAGAAATGCAGAGGCAG